TCCTCAAGCCATTGAGCCTCCCCTAACTCAAAACTGCTTTTCAATAGCTACGTGACTATACATAACAAAATATTCTTTACAAGTAAGAAAAAAGTACATCCTTTGCATTCTTCAAAAGTCAAAGGATGATAAAAATTTCTTGAAGTTTAAGAGTATTTTATTGACAAATATACACTAATAACTGGTTCAAGTGGGATTAAGAGGCTTGATAAAGTCAATTTTGCTGTAGTAATTTGTCTGTAAAGTGCTGGAAAAACATTTTGATGTCAATATAACTGCACACATAGAATGCTTTTATCTAGTGAATTGCGAATGACAGAAAAGGCCTTTGGGAGAAGGGTAAAATTAAGGTGCCATTGATTTTAGTTATTACATCTACTGCCAAAACTTCTTGATCTAACCAAAAAAAGTGTATCTTTTTTACTTAACCTTGAAATTAAACCCTTTTTGCATCTCTATAAAGATAACATCTTCTAAGAACAGTATTTTTACACACGCTCCTTAGTCAGTCTGCCTTCCTGGGTCCACAGATTGAATCTTTAGCTAAATCATGTGGCTTCCAAGGGAAGATTTATTCCCATGCTTGTTGAAGCAGGACTTATTAACATGACTAATGCAGGCCACCATAAAATCTCATTGGACTTTCCTGAGCTCACAGAATTTTGTCCTGTGTTATGCAATTCTCTTCAACTAACTAAAGATGGTGTCAATGACTCCTTATCTCTTATACTAGATTTTTTTGAAGTGCTTTTCTTGCTGAAAACATTACTTTTTATGACCTTGAATTCTAGTTGTAGTATTGTGAAGATTTTGCTTTGCAGTTCTACAAAACTTTTTATCTTCCATGTCAAAGTTCTTAAATTATTGCACATCATTTCTCTGCCTATGTTAACATAAGTCATTCCATCAGAAACAGCAGCATGAGAAGTAAATGTTTTAAACAGTTTTAGCTAAAAGCAAGGCATCCAACTTAATATCCTAGAGTATAACTAAAGGACTAGTAAAAAAAAAAAAGTAGGCATAACTCTCTCGGAAGAAGCAGTGCCTTAGACCATTTGACAGTTACATGGTTTTCCCTTCAGTATCTTCAAAAGTACTAAACAAAACTATCATAAAAACAAAAAACCCAAAACCCCAACAAAATACCACTGAGAACATGAGGAATAAAGGAAGGCAAAGAGGAGTGATACATGTTAAAAAAATTCTGTTACATTCTCATAAAACAGGGAAAATGGCAACATCCATTAATTCTTGCCTCAACAGTTGCCATGAGAATTAAAAAACAGAATGGGTTTTGTCACAAGGAGCGTATACCTTCTCTCTCAAGGTGGATGTTTACTCCTTGAAGCCAGGAAAAGAGTGACGTGGCCAGCTACAGGAATCAGCAGGATTATAAAACTGTAACTCACCTCTTGCTTCATACAACAGTTAGGAATGGATTGTAAAGCTTGATAACATGTTGTTTTCTCCCTTTCTTGCAGGAGAAAGGCAATAAGGAAGGTCAGGCTAGATAATGCAGCGATTGCAGGGTTTATGAGATACTTAGGAAGCATGTTCTTAACTAATTAACTAGTTCCGCAGGTAATTCCAACTACCGCAAGGGAAGTTACAAATGTCAGCAAAAGTACAAGAGCATTTATTGCTCATATAGCTTTGGACACAAACTGGAACAGGTGACATTGCTTTTTATCTGCTGGTTTGATTGAGGGTTTTGCGACATGACAACTGATCTGCAATAGGGCGAGATGTTGATGAGAATATGAAAATACAGTTGGTCTTGTTCTTTACAAATAGAAGAACCGGATGGCTGGAAAGTCTTTTCTTATCATAGCCTGATAAAAATATTTTCCTCATCTTATTTAAAGCTTTAAGCAAACAATTCCTAGTATAGGAAGGTTCTGAATGACAGAGCTTGAAAAACTAGACAGACTTAGCCCAGGTTCTGCTGCTCTCATCTCTTCTGGTAGCCCAGAAAGCAGAAGCTGTTTGCAGTGGTATTATCATGACTACTGGATACTGTGAAATCTTAACTAGTTTAAAGAAGAAACTAAGGAAAAGCTGCTGCTGAAGTCACGTCCCTGCCCTTGTTACAGGAAGTTTCTAATTTCAAAAAGAAAGTTCTCAAAACAATGAAAAGATAAGGTAAACGCAGCCAAGAACAAAAATAAAGGTCCCATATTTACTGGCACATTTCAGTGACAGGAACTCAGGTGTAGCTGAGGATACTTTTCCCCTCCAGAGAGGAGAGAAGGCCGACTAATTTAGTCCTTTTTTTTGTTCACAATCTGTTCCACCCATACGTTAGTAAGCAAAGTCAGGTGCTGCAATACTGGATGCACAGTTTGTATGATTAGTTTACACAGAGATAGATAAATAAAGAGTAAATTCATCTGGATGAACTGGGTAATAAAGATGTAAGTCCACTGTGATTGCTATATGAAGTTCCTTCAGTGGAAGTGTGGCATATATTGACATAATAGTCATCACAATTTCCCTAAGAAATTGGGTAAGAGACAGAGTGATATTGCATGTTTCTGCTTTTCCTAGTATATTGTTTACCAGAGAGATCTGCAAACATTAGTTTACTGAGAGTATCTGAGAGAATAAATGGAAAAATAGCTACTATTAGCTCTCCAAGAACTGAAGTAACAACTTCCTAGTTACAAGCCTTTCACAGATCATTCAACCAAATTTCTGTAGTTGAAAAACAAGTTTAATGGTATACCCATAAATTATGCTGCCAAAAACAGTGGTTAAGAACATAGGTTTTTGAAAACATTGAAGTTTTATAAACATTTAAGCTTTGGACAAAGCAAGTCTGGAACAAAGAGGCTGAAAATGGAGAGACATCATTTTTTTATATATTATAAGGCCAAAAGGATCCTCTGTGATCATTTATATTAACTTCCCTATAATACATCCAGCAGGACTGTTCTCGGGGTGTTGATCAGAAGAAATCAATTCCTTGTTGAAGTAGAACATCTCTTTTAGAAAGATATCCAGGTCTGTTTTAAACCTGTATCCTCATATAATTAATTATTCTAACAAACATGGCATTTTGACTTTGAATTTGACTTGCTGTAGCTTCCAGTATTGAATTATATTATTCCTTTACATGCTGGACTGAAAACCCCTAAGTCTGGGCTTTTTCCCAACCACAGGTTTCAGTTTCTTTGAAATGGCATTTCCACTTTTATTTGGTAAATCAAGTTGAGTTACTACTGATTTGTTAGAAAGACAAAAGTAGAAGAGAGGAAAATGGGGAGAGAGAAAGAAAGAAAGAAATAACCTTCCCATCTACCAGCCTCACTCATTTTATTACCACAGGAGCATTGTTTTAATCAGCAAAAAACTAAGTGCCATGCCTCAAATTCCATACGCCTTTGTAAATTTCTGGCAGAGATTCATGGTAATTTTTTTAGCTGTTCTGAATTCGAAAAATTGTCTAAAGACAGAGGAAGAGCTAATTCCATTTTCATCTTGTCCTCCGTCTTTGTTATTGAACAGGAAGCACGATCTGATAGTAAACAACAGAGCACACTCACATTTGGAAACTCAGTGTTTGTTTCTATATTGTTACAAAAACACAAGTGGAAAACCGTAATACTGTGGCCTAAAACTAACTTTGACTCCTTATGCTCAAATGCTTCTGAAATGAAGAAGTCTGCAAAGTCCTTCCTAAAAATCCGCTGTCTTTCACTTCCCTCTCAACTGTTTCCAGTCTTTTTTTTTTTATCTCTTCCATTCTCCATAATTTTCTTTTCTCTCATGACAGGCAAATATAGTTCATACTGTCCTGCCAAGCCATGTGTTCACACATCCATAGCAAGAATCGTGATGAATTTTTCTCTGCCTGTTGCATCTCATGCTTATGGTGACTTGGAACAGAATGTGTGTCAGAGCTGCCAGCAGAGACATTCTTAGGAAATAGGAATGAAACAAATTACCCACTTAAGACAGCAAAGATCATTCTGCTAGATCAAAGTACAAACCAGCAGGATTTTTAACAAAGCAAACAGTACCTGAATCAGGTTAACACATTCCTCCCCTTTTAGAAAGGGATTTTCACAACATATTCCTAAATTTTGGCATCAGAATAAAAAGCTATCAGAAACATTAAATATCTTTATAGTTTGTTAATGCTACTCAGCATTAACTGAAATTCAGAAAGTCCCAATCCAATAAAAATGGTGCAGCGTATGATGTCTGGAATTATTTGAGGACAGCCTTCCATTTGCCTGTTTCAAAGTTCATAATACAAAGGGTATCGCTGGACAGAAATGTTCAGAATATACTCTTTAGATGACATATACTCTATGGACTGCTTGCTGCAGGCCTGTTGAGAGACAGATGGCCAAATCTATTGTCCTGGTTTCCATTTGATAGCTTATTTTAAGAGACAGACAGAAGTATATGACATTAATGTAGTATGCTAATATTACTTCCTATAAAAGAAATTGATTAATGTGAAGTTCAAAATTTGAAAATATTAAAAAATACTGATAGGAAGGTATTTCACCAGTAATCATAAGTGGAAAAGAAAAAGAACAATGAGAATTAAGAAGAAGAATGATACCATATAAAAACCTCTTTACTATAAGGTAATGCATATTAGGAAGTTTTCCAAGAACTGGCTTATAGCATTGTAGGAACACAAGAAATTAAGGAGTTAAAGCGAAACAAAGAATGGAAATGATAGCTCAGAACTTCATTTATCTGATTCTACACAGTAACTTTAGACTGTGATGTATCAACTAGACTTGCTAAGAAATTTTATAACTGTTGCTACTGTTTGAGTAATCCACAGAGAATAACTTTTTGCACTTACCTTGTTATAGACAGAATAGCAGGATTACATTTTACTTTTCTGACGAATAAGAGCCAAAAGTGTCCCAGCTAAATAAAATCCTTGCAGCACTGCACAATCATCAATATTCATCTACCTGCTATTTCAAGTAAGCTCACAAAATGGTTAGTTAAAAATGTAAAAACAAAATCACCTGCAGAGCAATCGTGGTATTCTTCGCAGGATATTTCCCCACCAGTCCTTGTTCTTTGCGTTTCTTGAATTTCCTAAAGTAGTCCTGTATCAGGAAGGTGGCATAGAACTTCCCCACGGTTACCTCATCATCTAAATGAACAGACCAGACAGATCTCTCCCAAGTCAGCACATTTATTAATAGCCTGTACACTCATATCTGATTTGGGGGGAAAATGTGATGGGTGCAATAGGTACTATGCTTTCAGCTTACAACAATGGAACGTGTAACTAGCTTAAAAGCAATGTTTTAGCAAGCAGTCTAGGCTCAGTCAGTCAAATGAACTCATCCTTAATAAAAAAGAAAATACAATACTTTACCAAATCTCATGTACTTCTAAGTCAAGTTCATGTAAGTTTCTAACAAAACCATAAACATGTTTGTATATGCATTGAAGCCGAAAGACTGGCTTTAGTTACTTGGAATAAACAGATTAAAATAAAAGCTGCTATGACTTACATACACTTAGGTTTATGAAAGGCAGGTCCTGCTTGACTAACCTAATCTCCTTCTATGACAAGGTGACCCACTTAGTGGATGAGGGAAAGGCTGTGGATGTGGTCTACCTAGACTTTAGTAAAGCCTTTGACACCGTTTCCCACAGAATTCTCCTGGAGAACCTGGCTGCTCATGGCTTGGATGGGCATACCCTTCACTGGGTAAAAAACTGGCTGGATGGCCAGGCCCAAAGAGTTGTGGTGAATGGAGTTAACTCCAGTTGGCGGCCGGTCACGAGCGGTGTTCCCCAGGGCTCAGTACTGGGGCCAGTTCTGTTTAGTATCTTTATCAACGAACTGGACGAGGGGATCAAGTGCACCCTCAGTACGTTTGCAGACGACACCAAGTTGGGCGGCAGTGTTGATCTGCTTGAGGGTAGGAAGGCTATACAGAGGGATCTGGACAGGCCCCCAGACGATGGGCCGAGGTCAATCATATAAGGTTCAACAAGGCTCAGTGCCGGGTCCTGCACTTGGGTCACAAC